AAGAAAAATAACTAATTAGTCTAAGTTAATTTAAGAAGACTAAACCTAAGTTATTTTGAGAAAATAAATTGAATTAATCAAGAAAGCAAATTTTTTAGGGATTTTTAAGAAAAGGTTTTAATCTTAATTAAACTAGTATGAAATATTAATTAAAAGTCCTAAATTCTAAATTAATTTTAAGCAAAAAAAGTAAATGAACCTAAGTCTAATATTAATTTATTTAAGAAAAAAAGAATTTGTTAAAGAAGTATTGTTGGTCTTTTTTTAAAAGAAATAACATAAAAGTATATTAATATATATATATATATATATATATATATATATATATATATAAAACATTTTTTGGGGTTTTTATTAATAAAAATATATAATTATTATTATTATTATTATTATTATTATTATTATTATTATTATAATAAGAAAATAAAATATAAAAATAAAATTAAATGTCAGGGGGTCTGAAATTGAATTTGGGAGTTTAGAAGTAAAAACAATTTTGTTTTGGGGCCCAATGTGATTTTTGTTTAGAATCAGAAAAATGAAAATAAAACAACGGGCTGCGTTGTAGCTAGTAGACAGGGGGTGATGATCAGGAGAAAAAAAGAGACTAATCCCAAAGACTTAGGGCCCAACGCGCTTGTTTGTGACAAAAAGGGAAAAAAACAACGAAAATAATAGGAAAAAGGGCAGCGTTGGAGTTCGAACCCAGGCCATTGGCAATAACGTGCGCGCTCTCTACCACTGGGGTGACTATACATCCGTTTATTAAAATGAAACCAACATATTATATTACAAAACCAATCCTAGGCCTGTATCTTCTTCTTCCTCGCGCCAGACCTTCTTCACCATTTTTTAATCCTGTAACTTTCTCATTTCTCAACAAAAATTAAAACTGTAAACATGAAAGTTGCTCCATTTTTCATCATGATTTCATAAATGTAAATAACTAAATCTATAAATCAAAGATGAGCACGAATTTTGAATGGTACCAAATCTAACCTAATTTTTTTAGAAAGTTCAAGCTTAAAATTCTCACTACTCAAGCAATATAAATGAATTCTAAGGACATGGTCAGCTTCAGGGAAATAATGTCTACATTTTATCTTTGAAAATGGAAATCTAACAATACATATATAAAGAGATTGAAAATCAGAAAATTTACCTCAAAACTAGAGATCTTGTTTTGAGTTAGAGCCCACTTCAAGGTGTTTTAATGATCTAGTTAACTTCCTTGAACCTCCAGTAAGTTATTCCAATAGTTACTTTGAGTTGAGAGTGCTTGGACTGTTCTAGAGAAGTACAAGTGCGTACCTCTATTTTTGAAAATGGAAGATGGTGATAGAGGTGTTATAGAAGTGTTACAAGTATTTGGATGGCTTATATTTGAGGTAAGGAAGCTTTTGAAAGGGTTTGGCCAAGAAACGCACGAGTGGATTTGAAGATGGAAGTTTTTTGGCCAGATTCTACACAACAATGGCAATTTATATGTAATCTGAGTTTGTGAGAGTTTTGTGATGCTTTAGGGATTGTATCTTCGTGTCTTATCTCACAAATAGTGTCTCTATTTTATAAGCAAGATGTTTGGAGTGTTCAAGTTTATCAGATTTCAAATTCACATGTTTAAGCTCAACGTGTGATTTTTTTACAAAACAAGTTTCAATGCTTTGTACTTCATGATCAAGAGTTGTTAATCACTTTAAACAAAATTTTTCTGACTTTGTGGATGGAGTGTAATCAGAGCAAACAAGTTAGGAGCTCAATGCATTAACTTTGTGCATAAAGCTTGCTTTACAAGAATGGAATGGTTACTTTCACCCCAAAATGGAAAATTGACTTGGACAATACTTCAATCACATGGATAAGGTATCAATCAATTGTGTAAACCATTAATTATGGAGTGAAACATAAGTTTGAGGCCTGGAAAGCAAAGATTATGCAGCATGGCTATGGATTTGGTTATGTGTTCATCACAAAATTGTCTTGTAATTCAAACTTGAAACCCTAACTTCATATCTTCGATTATATTAGCTCAAGCATGATCTCAATGAGTTCTTAGACATTTTGGAAAGCTTGTAAAATTCCCTACAACCTTCATGTTTTTCATTTTTGAAGAATCCAATTGGAACTATGTGAAAAGTTTCCATGAAGTTGGTACCAAAAATCTGCCAAACTAGGTCAAATATTTACCAAGTGTTTTTACAAAGTGCATGACTTTGTGAATCTATAAATCAAGATCCGAGCATTTATAGGACTTTATCAGTAAAGAAAAGTTGTAGATCATCAAGACATACAACTTTCATGTTGAAAATTTTCTTTGAATCATCTTGTATTTTGGTGAAAAGTTGGCATGAAATCATGAAAAGACAAGACTTAAAAACACATAGAAAAATTCTAAGTCTTGAAAGGTTTGACTTTTTAAGATGAATTTTGAATTTCTTGATTTCTTGATGATCAAGTTTCATATTTTTGAACGTCTTTATGAAATGTGATCTTTGAAACTCAAATTTGATCAAAAAGTCAAAGTTTGACTTTTGGTGTATTAGTTGACTTTTCATCAGTTGAGTGAATTTCAACTATCAATCAATTGATCTTGAGAAATGTTTTGAGCCATGAAATTAGGTCAACATGTTGTACTTGAATCCTTGAGATTGTGCTTCAAACCATTGGATCATGTATTAAATCAAAAACCCTTGATCAGTCAAATACAATCAAAACCCTAATTTTGACCATTTTGCCCTTTTGGTGATTTAAACAACTTTCTTGGGGAATTGTGATCCAAACTTGATCAATTGATACACATGACTTCAAAATTTTGATATTGGTCTAAAATATTGAAGTTTTACTGTAGGTTGACCATATTTGACTTTTTACCCAATACAATTGATTTTAGATCATCTGATCAATTGACTGGGTAATTTTGTGATCCAAGACTTGAAACTTGATATGAGAAATCTTGAGGGTACATAATGATCCATGAAAGTCATTTGAAGTATTATAAATCCAATTGTCCTTGTGAAAACTCAAACCCTAATTTTAGGTATCAGTGTTGAGGAGAGGGGTTGACCTAGCCAACCCTTGTGCAAGCTTGAGCTTTTGAAGATCTTTGTGAGAAATATCTTGAGAAAAGAGAGGGAAAATTTTGGGGTATAATAATGAGCAACAATTGTTTGTGTTTAATCTTTAATATCTTAACACAATAATGAGCAACAACTCTTGTGTTCTTGATATTTCTCTAGAAGATTACTTGAATAAATATTTGAGTAGTGATTCTTCTTTCCTCTTGTAGCTTTTCATTATTTCAGCACTTTGATTTAAGCTTCATAATGTTGAGTAGTTCGTCAATATTCAAATGATGTTGAGGTCTCTATATAGACTTGAAAAAATAGACAGTTGGTAGTAGAAACATCATTTTCACTTGCTACCTACAGTAACGTTGGCATTTCATTATGGAAGACAAAATAGTACAATACGTAAGCATATAGTGGAATTTGAAGTGTATTGTATGTACTATATTCTTCGTGGCTAAGTTTCTTTGAACCTTATCTTTTGATGTTTTACTTCAGGCTTGAAGTAGTAAGCTTAGAAGATATCTCTTTCTGATCTTGGTTCCTTTCATCTTTGCTGGATTGATTCTGGTATGATGAATGATAATAATCCAGAAGATGCTTATTTGTTGTAGAGTCAGAGTCTTTCAGATATTTGAACATTGTCTTAAATATACAAGTAACAACTCGTCTGAGGAACAACTTCTTTGTTTCTGAATGAAAGCTTTTCTGATCTATACGTCTCGATCTGATCTTTGATTTCTGATAACAACTTTTTGAGTTGCATGTATGATGTTTGATTTCTGAAGTAGAAGCTTATGTCAATACATCTGAATTTCTGATTTGATCTGATCTTTGATTCTTGACTTTTTGATCTTGATCTCTAATGCTGAGCTGGAAGCAAAAGTTTGTGTCAGCTACATCTTAGTTTCTGATATTCTAGTCTCTGATCAAAATCTCTTTCTCTGGAAGCGTATGTGATTTCTTGATCTGAGAGTAGCACTTTTTTGAGAACATTTGATTCCCTTTTTGACGAAAATTCAGCATTCCTTAGAACTACTGATTTTTCTTTAGAAACGATCATAATAGTTCTTCTGGTGAGTGCAATGGTGTTTCTAATGACATCTTTAGAAAGACTATCCAGAATCTTGACTTTGTCTTCAAAATCTATAAGCAACAGCTTTTCTGATGAGCAAATCTTGACTTCTGATATTTTCGTTTAAAGCTTGTTTCTTGTGTAATCTGATTTCTGATGTGCTTGGCGCATTTCTGATACTCCAGACAACAGTCTTGAATCAATTAGAATTTCTTATCCACACACTCAAGAAACTTATTAAAAACAAAATTGTTTACATATAAAATATATGTTGTTATCATCAAAATCCATAAATCAATTGTAGAATCCAAATCTTGTTCTAACACATTATTGTATGAAAGATTTTGTTCTGCAAATTTAAGGAATTCAAGAACTCTTTTCTCATACACTGGACTGAATCTATCAGCTTTCATCCAACTACGATCCATAATAAATTCTGAAATTTATATCAAAAACTAGTATAAATGACACATTAATGCTACATACGCAACATACTAATATGGTTATATGCATATGCATATCCATCACAATAATATAATATATAACAACACTAAAATCTAAAGCATATTTATAACCACAAATACAATTCATGACATCAATCAACAATCCAACAATTTCATTTGCAACTACATCAAGTCATAGTCACAAAATCTGAATAAAACATGAACATGACAATAACATGAACATGACACATCACATAGTCACAAAATCTGAATAAAATCAAAACGTAAAGTCATTAAAAATTTTCAACTCTTGTATTCAAATCCAATTGAAACATAACAAAAATTCACACCACATAAAAGAAAACCTCATCACAACGCGAAAGAGAGACCAAGAAATGAACAATGAACAAAAAAAAATTAATGTACCGTACCATACTTCGAAGAGGAGGAAGAGACCAAGAAATTATTCTTCATTCCTAGATATTAATGAAGATGGTGAAGATTGGACGTTCTAATAAATTAATGAAGATGGTGAAGATGAAGATTTCGCTACTGCTGTCGTCTGATTCTTTATGGCATGTGTTATGAAAGAATTTCACCACGGCTGCCGATGCCAACCGTAGTGAAAATGATATATATAATAATGGTAGATAAAAATAATCATTGTTAATTATTTTTCGATTTTTATTTAACAATATAAGTTAAGGAACACGCGTTTTTTATAGAAAAATAGAAAAAAGTTTATATTAAAATTCAAAATTTGTAATCCTTAATCTATTATCACGATTATTATTATTATAAATTCTTTTAATAAAATAAAATAAAAAATTAAACACGTAAAAATAAGATATTATTACTGTTGACAAAATGTCTATGTACAAAAAAATATATTTGATAGTAATGATAGTTTAAAACAATTATTATTTAGAAACACTTTTCAATTTAACTAAATTAATTTTATTTAATAAATTATAAAACACTAGTATGTTTTTGCGGGTATAAAACACTAGTATTATTTATCTATTTTCCTTACAAAAACTTTTTGTTGTTATTATGTGAGAAAATCACTATGGTTTTTTTTGCGGTTGGATCATCCTTCCACCTTACTTTATCAACGCGGAGAAAAGCTATTACGCCACTATTATTTTTTATTTTTTTGTCTTTCCTCTTTATTTCATTGACCATCCAAACAAAAGAAATAATGTATTTGTTTCTTTTCCTTCCACTCTTTTTCCTTATCCACGCGTGAAAGTTATGAGCCACACAACATTTATATCAAGTTTCTTTTCTTACTTATTGTGTCCTTTTCAAAGAAATTTATTTTGGCAAGTTGTTAGATATTGTGTGACTTTAAGGCCAAGTGCATAGGAAAATTTTAATAATCTTTTTTTATCTTCTCCACTTTATACACATTTAATTACAAATAAATATATAAAAGTTCATATTTGACTTCAAATTTTTTAATGTCTTATAAAAGTAATTTATCTATAGTCTAATATTTGGCATGCTTTAGGCAACGGTTTTTATTCCGTTGCTGTATACTTAATATACTTTTTAATTTATAATCCTGTTTGTAAACTATTTTTTTTTCTGCAAAGGAGAGAAAATGATTCAGATCATGAAAGAAGTTAAATTAGAGTCAAATTCCAAAGAAGTTAAATACATACCCTTCAGAATGACCCATTCATGATGAAGTATAAGGAAACTTCATTAACATTAACACTTTGCAAATATATTTTTTTCCTCGCCAAGACGAGAACGAAGAAAGCGGCATAGCACAAAATACCAGGGGTCTGCAGTTATGACAACGATCACAACGCACATGTTTTGGATGCAGAGAAATTAACAAATTTAATGTCACCACCAACCAAATTATGGTTACAAACCATATTTTAAAATCCTACAAAAGAGAAGACAAGAATAAGCATAAAGACATTGATTTTAATTACCTAATGTAAGCCAATCCAAAAATAAAAAAATGTTAAAGAAACACATCAAAATTGAAAATTCCATTCATCAAAAAGAAAATTAAAAACTAATAAGTCCATAGTGATACCTCCTCATCTTGATAGTCTTGTACATTAATATCTTCATACGCATAGTCAAAGCTATGTGTAGGGGACATTAGCGCCATATTCCTCCACATATCTGGCATGTCCATCACTCCCTCTTCTTCCACTTCCATGGAAAACGTATTCTGCTCTTCTGTGGTGGCAGAAGCTACCCTCGTGTCAATTTCATTAACCGTTAAAGTCTCGTCAACATCATTGACTGACAAAGTGGTCTGAAAGCCTCGGCGGCTTCTGCAGCCGCCTTTTGAATATCTTTTGCTTCAGTACTGGCCGGCTTAGGGAGCCGCCACGTTGAGTCTGCAAAATTGAGACAGGCGTAGCGGCCCCTCAATGCCATTGCTGCAACATCGTGTGCTCGGGCAGCCATCTCAGCGGTTGGAAATGTTCCAAGCCAAATCTTAGTTTTCTTGTTAGGCTCTCTCATTTCACACACCCATTTATCTAAGTTTCTCTTCCTCACGCCTCTATACACCGGGTGGCGAGTCTCCTTGAACTTCTTCCTCCCAGCACGCTTCTTAGGTGTACTCGCAGCTAACCGCACATCTTGGTCTAAAACGGATATCTCATGAGAGATCTCTAAATTTGGCAATGACATGTTGGAGGAAGAGTTGTTAGTTGTAAACATATTTATGTGTTGGAGAGAGTTGGGAAAAGGCTTTGATAGTGAAAGATGGAATTGAAGATAAGAGTTTATTATCAAGTACTAGAGAGGAAATGGTTTTGGTGTTGAGATTTAAGAGAGTGCAGAGTGATATTTATAAAGAGAATTATGAATGAAGGGAAGAGAAAACAGTCATTGTATGTAAGTGTGTGTGTTTTGTGCGAGTGAGAAACTAGTTGCCAAGTTGAAGGTTTTGTGATTGGTTATGAAAGAGATATAAAGTATGCGTGTGTCAAGTGGGACACCACACCTGGTCCCAAAAGAGTAATAATATTATCCAAATATCTTCTAAAGACACTAAATAAGGTAATAATGTTTCTTGTCACACTAATATGGTAATTAAAATATTCTTAGGAACAGCTATTTTTAGCTCTTAATTCCTTTTATAATTTTGACACTATATTAAAAATGCGATGTCATTGTACTAAAAGAAATAGTGTTATCAAGCATCAATTAACTCACTCTTTTTGTTGGAGTCTAGGCTTCATCAAGCCTATGTATAGATTTTTTTTAAAATTTGGTTGCATATTATTAACCAATCTAAAAATTTGTTTTTTATTGTATTTAAATAAACTAACAATCTAAAAGACGAATAAAATTAAAAGTTTATTTAAATTGACTTTTATCTGAGCTTTCTTTATTAGTATATGTTTGGGGAAAATATTTGTTTGGAAGAACTTTTAAAAAATTATATCATTATTCAAAAGTTGTTTCCAATTTATTTTCATAATTTTTTAAAATAATTAAGATTTATTTTGATATATAACTTGATATTTTATAAAATTTGACTATATAAAATATTATATTATATTTTTAGATTATAACAATACATTTAAATATGAGAACAAATCAATGTTTAAATTAGTAAAAGTTTTACATTTGAAACCGTAAGGGATACTTTTGCGTCTACATGCCACTATAAATGGAGTATCATGTTCGAACCATAATGGATATCCTTCCACATACATGCGACTCTTTACAAGGTATCATGCTAGAATTCTAAGGGGTATTCTTGTGCATTAGGGGTGTCATGTTGGAATCATAAGTGGTATTTTTGCGCCTACAGACAACTCCATATGAGGTATCATATTGGAACTCAAAGGGGTACCGTTGAGCCTATAGACGACTCCTTATAGGTATCATGTTGTAACCTTAAGGGGTATTCTTATGCCCAAGGGTGATTCTTTATGGGATATCATGTTGGAACCCTAGAGGTATCCTTGCGCTTATGTGTGACTCTCTATGGGATATCATGTTGAAGTTCTAAGAGGTATTCTTGTGCCTATAGACACTCTATACGGGGGTATGATTAATTAAATCCATAAAGGGATGATCACCTATGAACGCATGTTACCAAGAAAAAAAAAGGAAGTCAATAAAGAGACGTGTTCGATCCTATCAAATCACGGATAAGCAAGGGCGACAATAAACATTAACTTAACAAAAATAAATATTTCGAAGAAAAAAAATAAACTAAAATTTCATTTAAAAATCCCCAAAGGAGAATAAGTACAAAAAATTTCCAGACTACATAAAACAAATACATAAAAGCTCTCATGGCCTAAGGCAACTTTAGATGAATTATCATGTTAAAATCCATGTCGCCTCCCTGTGGTCACCACTAACTCTTGATGTTCAGTAGGTGCCTCCTCCAAAGGTGTTGTGTCTCAATATTTACATTCTCAGGCTCTTTGACCAAATATTATCCTTCCTCAAGGTCAATTTATTCCACCAACAGGACATCTACGATAACTTTGAAAGAAAATATATCTCGCATAGGTCTAACTCTAGATATAAAAATCAAACTTTCTCCTTTACTTTTTCAAAACCTTGATCACCAAAAAAACCTTATATATGAGCTTTCTCTAGCTCCATCTGAAGAGCCTACATAATAGAAGCATGGGTTCCTTTCGCCTTAACAAGACCGTTCACTTTATCCTCAACCTGAACAAGCTTAAGGCCCTAACTCTGGTAGCTCACCTCCAAAGTTTTCTTCTCTAGGAATTTCTCATTTTCTTGCCTCTCTATTTTCTATGGTGGTTTATACATCTTTATAATCCTTCTCAAGAATGGTTATACTCTCATTAGTCATTATCGATAAGGTTTTGTCAAGGTCGTAACTCACCTTCATCTTACGGAGTTCAAACTTCAATGATGCTTCCTATTTTCCAGAAAAATCAAAATCCTCAAACATCGATCTACCCAACATTGAGCTCTTCATAAAGTATGTTCCAAGAAGTTGGAGCATTTTTTGAGGACCGATCTTCTTCTCCTTTTCAACTTCACTAAATGCGTTGAGATAATCACACAAAAAATCTAATCCTGTCAAAATATTTCACCCAAAAGTGAAACTCTTTCTCTTGGGAAGACGCTAGAGATATGTCATAGGGAAGCTATTGATACCACCTCCTATAAGACTACTCGCCTCTAAATCCATTGATGTGGTTGCATCCAAATCAATAGTATTCTTACTAAGAGCCACCTTGCTCTTTTTAGAAGAAGGTGATGTATTGGTCTAAAGAGCATGAGATGGTAACACAGTGGATACAAAAATGACATGGATTATTTTCCATACCAAGGTTCCTTTTTTCTTCTTAGAAGCATGGGTTTGAAAATCGATCAGATCACTTTGATGGATGGGATGACCATCCTCTCCCCTTTGAGTTTCTCCTTTACCATCATATCTTTTTTAGCTACAATAATAAGGGGACTCATTCTCTCTGCAAAAATAAAAATAAGGGGTTAAGAACAATGGGAAATCATAACTAAAACAAAAATGAGAAAAAGACACCTTACCTAGGAGCTCTATTAGCGAATGAGGGTATCCCCCATTTCGCATCAAATCTCTGATACTTAGAATATGATTTTTTTTGAAAAATCAGACCTTTCTTTCTCTGCTTTTCTAAGTTTGTTAGAATTACAGTTTATGATCGAAAGGGGCTTGCCCATCCAGTAAAGTGGGAATCTACATGCATCACCCCCCTTATAAATAACATTTAGAAAATGGCAACTGTAACACCCCTTCTAAATAACTCGCGAATATATTAATTAAATCAGAGTAACATGGAAAACAGGGATGTCACAATTCAAGATAAATATAAAAACCTCAAATCTACAGTTGTCATGCTTTACTGAAGGAATTATTAAGATAAATATTCAAATCAATATCATGTTCTACACAGCGGAAATGTCTCAAACCGGAATAACTTCACTTCATAAGTATTCCCAACATAAATTAAACAATAGAGTATAAAATAAAACTCATCATTCAAACATTTCCCCCAGTGTTACAACCTATCAGAGCACGACACTGACACGCGGACTTAAAGTAACATAGCTCTAGAGCCATCCTCACCAACTCCTGAGCTGCTAACTTTAATCTGAAATCATTAAAGTAAGGGTGAGATTTCTCATAATTAACATGCATTATAAGCTTCTCAATCAACATTATATCACAAGCATATTATTTCACCCATTTTAGCATAAATTCAGATTCAACACGCAGTACCAATCATACAAGTCATTATGCACAAATCAATAATCAACTAAAGAATTGTAACACTGGAAGACATCCTAACATGTTACAATTCCATGCAAACACAAATGCAGACACAATGCATGTGGTACCAACACGTGACCAAGTCACCCAACACTGATCCATCATCAACCGGATACAGCAACACTGATCCATCATCAACCAAATACAGCAATCATCGATTCGCCCATAAACACTCAGACATGAATCCAGCCTAACCACCCATCATCAACCGGGTATCGGTTAACGGCAATACAAGTCAAATTCCACACAATGGGAATTAACTTCACCAAAACAATGCATATGCATGCACATCACCAGCATGCAACATCAAGTCAACGGAATATGATCACAACATAATTCCAAATAATGCCAAAACCAATATATCACGTGATCATATCTCAATCATAATGGATAGCAGGCACAGCACATAAGTATCAGTTCTCATTCACCAAATCAGAACAATTTACAAACAATTCTACATCATTCTCAAAATACCAAAGTTTACAAAAATCGGGAATTCGACTCTTTTTAAAATAATTTTCATAAAATAATATTTTTCTTATTTTATAATATAGTATTTTTAATTTAAGAAATACTGCCGAAAACGGCACTCAAATCGGACTTACGGTTTAAAAGTTATGAATTTTCAAAGTTTAATATTTTTCAAAAAGTTACAGCAGAACCCAGTTCCTACATATGCAGGAACCGGTTCCTGCGAAGTCCTAAAATCACCCTTCTGGAAAATGTATGGGAACCCGGTTCCTACCTATACAGGAACCGGTTCCTACGACTAATTTTTCCAGTTTTTACAACTTCGCATAGTGGAACCCGGTTCCTCCCCACTGGGAACCGGTTCCCACGACCTGTAGAGTCAAAAACTGCTATTTTGACAGCATTTTGTATCTCAATCCATTCCTTTTCATTCCTATACGAATGACCACATCAATTAACACCAGAATCACCCAAGTAACATCAACATAATGTCAAATAACACAATTCAACCATTCCTAACAATCCTATATCATGCAATTGGTTCAATTCCACACAATTTAACAACATTAGGGACAAATTCTACAAATCTAGAAAATCCTAAATTGAGATTCCTAACATGCTTAATCAATTCTATTGATCCCAAAATCTATAAGGCATAGTAATTAATCGAAATCACCCCTTTACCTCGCGATGATCCTTTGAATTCACGGCATTTGGCTTTTTCCTCTCTTCTCTTCTCTTCTCCAATTTCATGTATAATGACTTTTCCAAATAACCTCCTTATTCTTTTCCTTTTTATTCTTCTTTTTATATTCCTTTTATTATTTGCCAAATAATAGTAATAAATTAGTTATTATTTAGTAGAGCTTTTTACTTCACACACCTCTAATTCAACCTTACACCCCCCGGTCTTCCTTTTTAATTTCATAATTAA